TTGGTTAAAAAGAAGGATGGTAAATTGCGATTTTGTGTGGATTTTCGGAAGTTGAATAAAGTGTCGGTGGCAGATGCGTATCCCCTGCCGCGTATGGACGATTCTCTCGACGCCTTGTCAGGGGCTAAGTTTTTTTCAACGCTAGATCTCTCTTCGGGCTTCTGGCAGCTCCCCCTTGACGAGCCCTCGCGAGAAAAGACAGCTTTCCGTACGCCGCAGGGGTTATTCCAATTTAACTGTCTTCCGATGGGGTTGAATGCTGCCCCTGCCACTTTTCAGAGGTTGATGGAGTTGGTATTGACGGGGTTGCAGTGGGAGACATGTCTCATTTATTTAGATGATATTATAGTCTTCAGCCGCACATTTGATGAGCATTTACTGCGGTTGGAGGCTGTATTCGCCAGAATGCGTTCTGCTAATTTGAAATTCAAGCCTAAGAAATGTCATTTACTGCAACGCTCCGTTCGATACTTGGGACATATTGTTAGTGCGGACGGGGTGGCCACGGATCCAGAGAAAACTGCTTGTGTCCGGGATTGGGCAACCCCGGCCACGGTGGGTGATGTGCGTCGGTTTTTGGGGTTCGCCTCATATTATCGGAGGTTTGTTCCGAATTTCGCTACTATCGCCAGGCCTTTGCATCTCCTTACTGGGAAGGGGCATAAATTTGTGTGGGGACCGCCGGAGGAGGCGGCGTTTCGGAGCCTGCGCGATTTACTGGCTACTGCGCCGACGTTGGATTATCCGGATTTTGAACATCCCTTCATTCTGGATACTGATGCGAGTGACACTGGTATTGGGGCGGTGTTGTCCCAGTCAAAAGGTGGTGTTGAGCGTGTGGTGGCGTATGGGAGTCGGGTTTTATCTCCCGCGGAAACCCGTTACTGCGTCACTCGCAGGGAACTTTTGGCTATTGTGTTTTTTCTCCGACAATTTCGACCGTATCTGTACGGTCGGTCGTTTATTGTCCGCACGGACCATGCGGCCTTGCAGTACGCTCTTAAGATGGACCAGCCATCCGGACAATTGGCGAGATGGCTGGACACGTTGCAAGAATTCTCCTTCCAAATTCACCATCGGAAGGGTGTGCGTCACGCTAACGCGGACGCACTGTCCAGGTTGCCGCAACGATCCCCTTGTGCGTGTGCGTCGGGGACGCATAGGTGTGGACCGACTCAGCCCCCCCCTCAGCCTGTCGCGCTGGCAGTGGATGTTCTCGAAACTCCGCTTACACCGGGACCGGTTGATGGGGGACCGGCTGACGGGATTTTGCGTCTTCCAAGGTCTGTGTGGATTCGGGAGCAAATGTTGGACGAATCTTTGGTGTCGTTACGAAAACGAACGGAGAAGGCGGGTAAGGAAGTCGGTGCGGGTGGTAATTCGGAAACTGCTCTCCGAGATGGGTTACTGATGTGGAGGGAAGGGATACAGGAACACTGGCGTCTCGTTGTGCCTGCGTCATTGCGGTATGAGTTGATTAGATCTTTGCACTGTGACACACTTTTACACCTGGGGGTGCAGAAAACCCTATTGACGCTGCAACGAGACTATTATTGGCACGGCATGACGACGGATGTCGTCGGTCACGTTCGCGCGTGTCCCGATTGCGCCCGCCGTAAACCACCTAAACATCCATATGTTCCGCCGATACAATCGATTAAAGTATCTCGGGTTAACGAGCTGGTGGCGTTAGATATTTTGGGACCCTTTCCGCCATCCGCTAAGGGAAAAAAGTATTTACTGGTGGGGGTTGAGTACCTCTCTCGCTGGCCGATGGCCTGGCCTTTGCCTGACCAGTCAGCGGCGTCTATCACTGACGCCTTTCTATTTGGGTATGTAATGGACAAAGGGGCGCCGGAGAGGCTCCTTACGGATCAAGGACGTAACTTTTCGTCCAAATTGTTGGGGGAGGTGTGTGCGGCTCTTGGAACTAAAAAGATACGGACGTCCCCCTACCACCCGCAAACGGATGGTATGGTGGAACGGTTGAATCGGACTCTGTCCGCCATGCTGTGCCATACAGTCGGGGAAAATCAATCTGATTGGGATTTGCATATCCCTGGGGTGCTTTCGGCGTATCGCATGACGCCGCACGCGGCTACTGGATACTCGCCGTTCTTCCTTATGTACGGCCGTGAGAATGTGCCGCCGATTAATGAACAGTTGGGAACCGGCGCGAGGGGGCCTGTTAAGCCTCTTCCTGAGTATATTAAGGACAACGTTCGGCGTGTCGCTGAGGCGAGGGAAAGTGCCCGCATGGCTACTGCCAAGGCTCAGGCCAGGAATGAGCGGTGTGCCCGACGATCAAAGGGGGAGTGCCCCTGGAAAAAGGGGGACCTGGCCTGGCTTCATTGCCCACAGGTGCGGCCAGGTACCTCTCCTAAATTACATAGACCTTGGCAGGGTCCGGTCCGCCTCATTGAGGTTTCCAACCCACAGTCGGCGCGTGTTCAGGTTGGTTCACGGCGCTGGTTCGTGCATACATCCCGGTTGAAGCCATACATTGCCCCGCGGCCGGATGCGTCATCTCCCGAAGTTGCCTTGCCGGGGTCTGTTGCTGCCGACTCGCCCTTGCCTGTGTCTGCTGACCCTGCGAGAGCGCCTGTCGTACCCTTCACAGACAAGCCGGCCGTGACAGCGCAGGGAGGAGGACGTTCCGCTCGTGGGACGTCGACTGGAGCCGCAGAACCCACGGGACCTGCAGCTCTTCCTATCCCTCCGCGGACGCGAGTACGGGATGTCTCTGGACGCGAGCGGGACAGTGGCGGGCCTCCAATGGCGACGGAAGAACTTGCGCCCGTCGCCCCTAAAACCCTTCCACGTTCCCGCTCGGCGGGTGGTCTGCCGACCGTCCGGGACGGCCCGGCTGCCCGTACTCGCTCGAAATCCCTCACGTTTCGTTAAAATTGTATTGTGTTGTGTTCTGGTTATATTGTTGTTGCATGCTTCGTGTCTTTTTACGTGTTGGCCCTTTACACCCGCATTTCTTGTCAGGTTGCAATTCAGCCGAGGTCGGCTGGATTTTCTTTATGGGGCAGGGTGATGTAATGCGGGCGTAAACGGCCCTCCGGAGGTGACGTCAGGAGGGGAGGAGTTAGGTCACGTGGGGGGGTGAGGGGTTAGGCTATAGAAGGAGGGGAACCGGAAGAGGACGAGGAGTGACGGGGAACCAGGAACAGAGAGAGGCCACGAAGGGCGAAGCGGGGGGTGGCGAGATCGCCACGAACACGGGGGAGCGAGGATCGGCACCGTTGGCCAGCGGTGACCGACCTGAAGCAGCGAGGAGGCTGCAGTCAGCAGCGGGGCTGCACAGAGAGTCAGCAGCGGGGCTGCATACAGAGTAAGCAGCGGGTCTGCATACGGTAGCAGCCAGAGGGTCTGCACATAGGGGTAGCAGCGGGAGTCTGCATAGAGGTAGCAGCGAGTCTGCAGGGAGGAGGTTACAGTAGATGAAGCAGAGAGTCAGAGGGAAGAAGAAGCTATAATAGCAGTGAATAGCCGGGGGCTACAAATACAGAGTTATAACAGAGTGCCGTGTGGGTGAAGACGAGAACCCAATAAAAGACACGAAGACAGAAGGAAGTGTCCGAGTCCTTTTATTACACATACATTGTGCATACATACATTGTACATACATGCAATGTACATACATACATTGTACATACATACATTGTACATACATGCAATGTACATACATACATTGTACATACATACATACATTGTACATACATGCAATGTACATACATACAATGTACATACATATTGTACATTGTACATACATACAAGGTGTATACATACAATGCAAACACATGCAATGTACATACATGCAATGTGCATACATACAGTGTACATACATACAAAGTACACACATACAATGTGCATACATACAATGTACAGACATACAGTGTGCATACATACAATGTACGTACATACAATGTACATACATCGAGTCGGTGCACACGAGAACACAATTTGATGACGGGCGACTTCGTCCCAAGATTGAGGATTGATAATAGGTTTTTCCCTTTTTTTCTGGCAACAAAAACCGGTGTTAAGATGAAACACCAAACTGAAACCTTTTACAAGGAATCATGTCTGCATTAACCACAATGCTTGTGGTCAGAATGCAAATATATATATACTCTGATAATTTATGCATTGTCTTTGAAACTGATTGGTCCACACCAGAGACAGCTTCCTTTTGAGCCTCGTCTCAAACGGTGTTAGACCAGAGGACGCCAAAAGGCGTACAGCTGGAGACCAATTAGTTTCAAGGACAATGCCAAGATATTATCAGAGTATGTTTTTTGTTTGCATTCTGACCACAAGCAATGTGGTTAATGCAGACATGATTCCTCGTAAAAGGTTTCAGTTTGGTGTTTTAACATCTTAACACCGTTTTTTGTTGCCAGAAAAAGTGGAAAACCCTATTATAATATTTTGGTACTGGCAAAGGAGGTCCCATGATGAGGATGAGTATTCATCTTCTTGGTTCTTTCGGTAAAGTCACGTAGAATTGAAATAATAATAAAAATAAAACATAATAAAATAATTCTCACGACGTTTCGGCCACAACGCAAGTAGCCGTCCTCAGGTGGAGAACAGGTCTGTCGAGGAGACAGAGTCAAACCTGTTCTCCACCTGAGGACGGCTACTTGCGTTGTGGCCGAAACGTCGTGAGAATTATTTTATTATGTTTTATTTTTATTATTATTTCAATTCTACGTGACTTTACCGAAAGAACCAAGAAGATGAATCCCTGCAGTCACGAAAGCTTTAAATCGAAATGTAAGATGAGTATTATTTGTAGTATCATCGTCCGCTGATCTTGCCGAGCTAACCAATGACAGCCGCTTCATCAGCAGCGTGGAGGAAGGGCCCTGACACCACCTGACACCACCTGAGTCCACCTGAGTCCACCTGAGTCAGTCTACCGGTGAGAGGGGCACGCGTGACAATGTGGTGATGATGATGATGACGACAACAATAAGGCACATCACCTCCATGGCTTCCATTCTGAATTGCAGCAAAAAATTATCTTGCAGTGAGAGAATTCTGCAACGAAACAATAACAACATCAGAATAATGATTACAATATATTTTTAAAATCTTTTTTCTTTTTAACCTGCTAAGAGTGTTGGGGAAAGGGTTGTTAGCTAGCATCTATTAAGGCCAATAAATGCGCACGCTTACGAAGATAAAGATCCCCCATATAGCCTTAACAGACTGTAGGGGCAAGTGCTGTTAGCGAGCACCTATGAAGGTCGGAACGGTTCAGATAATCGTCACTGGTGTTGGCCGTCAGCGGGAATCGAACTCGGGTCGCTGGGTTCGTAGCGCAGAGCGCTAACCGCTACACCACCACTCCCCGCTACACAAAGATAAAGATCTCCCGTATAGCCTTAACAGACTGTAGGGGCAAGTGCTGTTAGCGAGCAGCTATGAAGGCCGAAACGGTACACGAGGGGGTGGGTGGCCAGCACCACGCCCGACCACCTTTGTCTCCCCAGTGTCGATGTTTACACACCACACCGGGTACTCATTTGAGGCTGAGTCGACCTAGGGGAGGCCCAGGACCGGTTCAGATAATCGTCACTGGTGTTGGCCGTGAGCGGGAATCGAACTCGGGTCGCCAGGTTCGTTGCGCAGCGCGCTAACCGCTCCACCACCACTCCCCGCTACACACACACACAGACACACACTCAGACACACACACACAGACACACACTCAGACACACACACACAGACACACGCACACAAAAGACGCAATGTCATTGTCGCACACAAATAGCACCCCACTACACTCAGCCACGCATCAGGTGTCTCGTAATGAGCGGCACAATCTCTCAGAGCCACACAGCGCCACGTACAAATTGCACAGCTAACGACTCCATTCGGCCACGTCTGTTATGATAACGCACCGCGCAAATGGGATTGACTAAGGTGCACAATACTTGTTTAAGCAATAACCGGCGAATATTTAGACAGATTACGCCGGGCTCTTTGAAGTTGAAAAACTTTTTTTTTCTGCCACTGGCTTAATATCCCCATTAAAAAAAGTGTGACATTCAAACATGCGAGCGCTGCGTAGATGAGAGGGCAATGCTATTTCTAGATTAACTATTATATTCTTGGTTCTTTCGTTAAATCACGTAGAATGGAAAATAATAAAATAATAAAAATAAAACAATTAAATTCTCACGACGATTCGATTGCAACACAAGCAATCGTCATCAGGTGTGAAACCCACAGCAAGAACATTTTAATCGAAACGTCGTGAGAATTTTATTGTCTTATTTTTATTATTTTATTATTTCCCTTCTTCGTGACTTTACCGAAAGAACCACGAATATGAATCCCTGAGAGTCACGAAAGTTTTAAATCGAAAGATTAACTATTGTTTTAATAAAAAGCCTAGCAAACGACGCTATCACCAACAGAGATGCTGCAGCAATTCTAACAGTTAACAATGCTTACCCCGAGCTCTCAAACTCTGATGGTGCATTGTCTTTGAGTTGTGCGCCTTTTGGCGTCATCTGGTCCAACCCATGTGAGACTAGGCTCTAAGGAAAGCTGTCTCGGGTGTGGACCAATCAACTTCAAGGACAGTGCATACATTATCAGAGTTATGTTTTTTATTTGCATTATGGCTGCAGGTATTGTGGTCTATGCAAACTTGACTCCTTGTAAACAGGTGTCAGTTTTGTTGCCAGATAGAAGGGTAAAAAACAAGTATCAACCCTTATGGGTGTTGCGGCCAGCACCACGCCCGGCCGCCTTTGTCTCCCCAGTGCTGATCTTTGCACACCGCACCGGGTACTCATTTGAGTCCGAGTCGACCTAGCGGAGGCCCAGTCGACCCGCATTGACTGAACGACTGAACAGATGAGCGAATGCATATAAATGAGTTGACGGATGAGGCAGTGAGTGAATTATTCATGCGTGGGTAAACGAAATTCAGTGTTCTACATGGCAACAAAACAAGGCCCCGTTTTAATCATTCAGTCAACGGAATGAGTGGCCGAACGAACGAGTGAATAACTGAATGAATGAGCGAGTGAATGAATTAATTAGCTGCAAGTGGATAAGCATCCATACCTATCTTCTTGGTTTTTTCGGTAAAGTCACGTAGAATGGAAATAATAAAATAATAAAAATAAAACATAATAAAATAATTCTCACGACGTTTTGGCCACAACGCAACAGACCTGTATTCACCTGAGGACGGCTGCTTGCGTTGTGGCCAAACGTCGTGAGAATTCTTTAACTATGTTTTATTTTTATTATTTTATTATTTACATTCCACGTGACTTTACCGAAAGAACCAAGAAGATGAATCCCTGCAGTCACGAAAGATTTAAATCGAAACATCCATACCTAGCCATGTCCGTGAGATCCAAGCGTCCGTCTTGATTCCGATCAAACAGCTTCATCTGAAATCGTTTCGCACAACCGACAGTGTCACACAAACACGCGCCTTTCAGCGGCTCAGCCTGCAGGCCGTGACGCAGCTGCTGAGTGCGCAGGCGGTCCAACTGCACCGCGGTTGGGGAGATGCGGAGGGGGGGGCGTGTCTCCACGGGCCGGATTCGAACCCAGGTCCTCAGCGTTGCCGGTTCGTGTGTCTCAAAACCCCGCAAGCCAAACGGCCACCTCTCAAAATGAACATTTGCGCGAAATGATTTGGAGTGCTCTTTTTTTTTAAAACAGTCGTGTTAGAAACAAACGAATACAAACTCTCACGAGCTGGGGCAGGGGGGAGGAGGTCCTCGTTGAGCCGGCTGCAAGTCAAGCGGCGTAATGGGGCACACATTTAATCTCGCAACGAGCGGCGGATATTTGAACCGCTCCGGGAAGAGACGCGGGTCGCCTCGATCGCTCTCGTGAGGGTGTTTAACCGTGGGCGCCTAGTCTGATCGCTCGATCACTGCACGACGACCGGTGAACGGCACGAGAGGAGTTGAAACAACACGAAAATTGGTGAACAGCACGACAGCCGTGGAAGGGCACATTCCTCAATTGCACTGCGTGGCCATGAAAGGAAAAATAAAAAAATTAACCCGTAAAAACAAAGTTTTTCACTATAAATCCTTTATATGCGTGGCACCGGTTTTATTGTATTATTCATTTCTGTTTTTCTTGAGTAAGAGTTTCATTTTTATCACATTGGTATTTTAAATTAAATATGAAAAAAAATTCCTAAAAAGTGGAACATTTTGGAAAAAAAATTTCACGAAAATAAATTGTCACGCACAACGAGTCTGTGTGCAAAATGTCAGCTCGATTGGATCACGGTCATAAGTGTGCAAGCAAGCAAGCAAGTGAACTTTATATAAAGGATTTAAAAACATCGGCGACGATTCGGGCAATGGCCCTGCTTCATAGCCCATCGAGTGAGATTATTTAGTAAGTTTTTAATTTTGTTCATTGTGCTTGTGCCACCACTGCCACCACAACAACAGCAGCAATCACAACATAACTAGTTCGATTTCAATACGAACGTCCCTGTAGTGTGAAGCTGCGCCGTTATTGGCAAAAACTCGTGGATGTTAAAAAATGTGAAACGAGTATCATGTAAAAATGTCATTACAATTTCCATTAAAAGTACATCACGTACACTTTTAAAAACCGATGGAATAAAACAGAGTGAGCGTGGGTGCAAAGAAATTGTATATGCACGCTTTTCGACGGCCGGCAAACGTTGATCAAAGGTTTCAAAACAACAATTCTCCGAAAGAAGAAGAAGCATAAGAAGAAGACTTTAAAAAACTGGTGGTGAAAAGCAAAAAAAACCGGCGATAAATCGAGAAAGAAAAAAACACACAAACTTTTGAAATACGTGGTCAACCAGGTTAGTGTCTGACTGTGTTGTTGACCGACTGGTTTTGCATCACATTATGTTTCGAAGGTTTGTTGAGTTCTCATCTCCCATCTTCTTGTTGTTGTTGTAGTTTGCCTCCGTGTAGTTTACCGTTGTCTGTGTGGGCTGTGTGCTTGGTGTCCCCCTGTGTGTTCCCTTGCTGTGTGTTGTGCCCCATTTCCACCTGATGATGATCGATTGTGTTGCGTTCGAAACGTCGTGATTTATTTAAATTTTATTTAGTGAAATTTTATTTTATTCCATTGGAACCTCATTTGCCAGTAGCAAAATATGATAGTTGTTTTTTTATCCTTTAATCTGGCAACAAAACTGACACCTTTTTTTACAAGGAGTCATGTTTGCATTGACCATAATACCTGCAGTCGGAATGCAAACAAAAAACGCGCCTTTTTGCGTCATCTGGTCCAACACCATGTGGGACTAGGCTCTAAGGAAAGCTGTCTCGGGTGTGGACCAATCAACTTCAAGGACAGTGCATATCATTATCAGAGTTGTGTTTTTTGTTTGCATTCCGACTGCAGGTATTTGTGGCCAATGCAAACATGACTCCTTGTAAAAAAAAGGTGTCAGTTTTGTTGCCAGATAAAAGGGTAAAAAACCAATTATCATTTTTTTATTTCATCTTCTTGGTTCTTTCGGTAAAGTCACGTAGAATGGAAATAATAAAATAATAAAAATACAACATAATAAAATAATTCTCACGACGTTTCGTGAGAATTATTATGTTTAATTTTTTTTATTTTATTATTTCCATTCTACGTGACTTTACCGAAAGAACCAAGAAGATGAATCCCTGCAGTCACGAAAGTTTTAAATCGAAAATTATTTTATTGCTACATACGTGACTTTACCGAAAAAAACCAACGAGCACAGTAAATTTCTGCAGTCACGAAGATTCCAAGAACACAGGATGAGATGTTACTATCCTTTGTGCAAGCACTTCCAAGAGTTCAAAGCTTCAATGCTACGTTACGCGACACACAAACTTAACGAAACAATCCGGAGCAGCTGACGTGTCCCACGGCACCTCGTGCCCGTTGAGGACAGACGGGGCACGAGAGATGCTGGGGCCCGTACCATCGAGTCGGTGTACTCGTCCAGCTTGCCGCTGGTCACATCGCGATGGTGCTCCACGCAGAGATCGCCCAGGAAGTTCTACGAGCCGCGCGCACACACACACACACACAAAGATCAAAGATCTACCCCCCCCCCCACCCAGTGTAGGCCTGTAACAGACTGGAGGGGCAAGTGCTGTCATCGAGCGCCTATACACACGCACACATACATACACACGCACACATACACACACACACATACACACACACACATACACGTACACAAAGATAAAGATCCCCCATATAGCCTTAACAGACTGTAGGGGCAAGTGCTGTCACCAAGCGCCTATGAAGGCCGGCACGGCACACGAGGGGGGTGGGTGGCCAGCACCACGCCCGGCCGCTTTTGTCTTCTCCCTAGTAGCGATGTTTACTACACACCGCACCAGGTACTCGTTTGAGGCTGAGTCGACCTAGGGGAGGCACAGGACCGATTCAGATAATTGTCACACGTACACGCGCACGCACACAAAGATAAAGATCCCCCATATAGCCTTAACAGACTGTAGGGGCAAGTGCTGTCAGCGAGCGCCTATGAAGGCCGGAACGGTACACGAGGGGGTGGGTGGCCAGCACCACGCCCGACCGCCTTTGTCTCCCTAGTGGCGATGTTTACACACCGCACCAGGTACTCATTTGAAGCTGAGTCGACCTAGGGGAGGCCCGGGACCGGTTCAGATAATCGTCACTGGTGTTGGCCGTGAGCGGGAATCGAACCCGGGTCGCCGGGTTCATAGCGCAGCGCGCTAACCGCTACACCACCGCTCCCCACTACGTACACACACACGTGCACACACACAGCAGGATTCAAACATTAAATACTCCGCTGCTGGAAGAAGGCATCCCCACGTCGCATCGGTCGTGTGGGTTGTCATTCATTCAGTTATGCACAGCGATGAGGCGGTTTGATGAATACGATGGGAGGGCTGCCCATGACCGGGACCAGGACTCAAACTCAGGTTGTCGGTTCGAGAGCGCAGTGCGCTAAACTGTGGCCACGGAAGAGATAATCCGATTGCACTGAACAGAATAATTGAATAATTGCTGTTAGTGATCACCTATTAAGGCCGGCACATCGACACAACCACTACATCCCACTAACGAAGTAAGTAAAGCAGAGATTTGACCTTTGTAAATAAGTTAATAGCTGTGATTAAATAAAGCATCAAAAGGCAAATTTAAAACAGAAACTATAAATGGTAAATTATAGGTTGTTCATGACTATCCAGACGGCAGCGCGATAAATGTCAAGATAAAAGCTCCTGGCTAGAGCCCTCTGCTAAATCATCGCTCGAACGTGAGAAATCTTTAAAAGTTCCCTCTCGGCAAAACTCGAACATCGATGAAAAAAAATCTGGAACTTACAACTTGATCAATTGCTCAAATCTGAAAATTATTCCACGTGCATTCATTTGTTGTGCCTTTTGTTGTCCAGAATGTATGTTTTTTGTTGTTGTTCGTGTGACAATGTAAGTAAATAGGATTTCTATAACATATTATGTCTTCTTGGTTCTTTCGGTAAAGTCACGTAGAAGGGAAATAATAAAAGAAAAAAGAAAACATAATAAAATAGTGAGATTTATTTTATTATTTTATTATTTTTTATTTTATCATTTCCCTTCTACGTGACTTTACCGAAAGAACCAAGAAGATGAATCCCTGCAGTCACGGAAGCTTTAAATCGAAATATAATTATTTTGTTATATAATTGTATTTAATTATATTATGTTTTATTTTTTTATCATTTTATTATATCCCTTCTACGTGACTTTACCGAAAGAACCAGGAAGATGAATCCCTGCAGTCACGAAAGCTTTAAATCGAAACTTAACATATTATGTGTTTGTCAATTTCCCTCCCCCCCCTGATTCATCCTGATTGTGATCTCGTGCAGGGCGGCGCAATCCACCGTGCCAGAGAGAAAACGGCCCACAGATGCAGATGTTACAGAGCTACCTCCGAGTAAAATTGTGCTCCGCGTGCAGCGGAGGGCAGCACTCTGCCCACCCCCCTCACCCACCCACCACCAACCCACTCTGCACATGAAGATGACAGCTGTTGATTGCGTGAAGGTCAAATTGATATTTTAATTATTCAGAGGTGGAATTTAGCCTCACCACAATGTGATGTGTGAGCAGCGTTTAGAATTATTCTTTGGTTCTTTTGGTTAAGTCACGTCTAAAGATAAAATTATAAATTTAAATAATAGCATATTACGACGTTTCGATTGCAACACAAGCAATCATCATCAGGCATAAAAGAAATAGCAACAAAAATCTAACTAGAAAACTATAGACAGACATATAAGCAGACAGACATCACAAGGACACACAGAGAGAGGACACATATCGGCACAAAGAGAGGGGTCGTTTCTGTGACGGTCCCTTAAATATAGAGAGGGGGGGCGGGGACGGAGAGAGGGAGGGGGCAGAGAAAATTAGCATATCAATGAGTGGACGGCAACGTGCTGCTGCTGCGCAAGTAAGATGACGACGTGGCACGGCACGCAAGCTTGAAAATTAGGACCAAAGAATAATTCCTGCAGTCACGAAAGCTCCAAAATTAAGATTGAGCGTTTTAGAATTTTTATTTTTAAACAAATTCGCTTACTCATGAGCACTTTTGATGACTGTGAGGCAATTGGTCATCGAAAAACACATTTTTAAAAAGTTTACATTTTCATCAGGCCTACACGAGTGCAGTCTCCAACTCGTACTATCCATTCTGTCCCTCGTCTGACCTCTCTCTATTCATGTGCCATGAAGAAGGGACATTGTCCAAAACGTCGCCTATCATATATATTTTTAGGCCATGTTGTTATCGATGAAAATGTTGATTTATTTTCAATTTAAGTGCAGCCATTGGTGATCTGGCTGAGACCAGCAAATGGCTACGCTTGAGAACCCGGTTTAATCACCACTCAGTCTATGCTCGTGTATGGGTCTCTATGCGAGTCTATGGGTCTCTATGCGAGTCTATGGGTCTCTATGCTCGTGTATGGGTCTCTATGCGAGTCTATGGGTCTCTATGCGAGTCTATGGGTCTCTATGCGAGTCTATGGGTCTCTATGCTCGTGTATGGGTCTCTATGCGAGTCTATGGGTCCCTATGTGAGTCTATGGGTCTATATGCGAGTCTATGGGTCTCTATGCGAGTCTATGGGTCTCTGTGCGAGTCTATGGGTCTCTATGCGAGTCTATGGGTCTCTACGTGAGTCTATGGGTCTCTATGCGAGTCTATGGGTCTCTATGCGAGTCTGTGGGTCTCTGTGCGAGTCTATGGGTCTCTATGCGAGTCTATGGGTCTCTATGCGAGTATATGGGTCTCTATGCGAGTCTATGGGCTCTATGCGAGTTTATGGGTCTCTATGCGAGTCTATGGGTCTCTATGCCAGTTTATGGGTCTCTATGCTCGTGTATGGGTCTCTATGCGAGTCTATGGGTCTCTACGTGAGTCGCTGTTGCTGCCGCGGATTTCTTTTCCGAAATTCGCAACCGACCAACCGACCGATTGACCGACCGACCGACCGGCCGGTTGACCGGTTCGCGGTGACCTCGTTGGGATCGGATGATGATGTTCGTGTAGGGTTCGCCGGGGAAAGGCGTCAGCGCATGAGCGTTTGGCGGAGTGGCGCATTCATCGAATTGTTTCGAGAGCAGCAGCGGTGGTTCTTCTTGTTCTTAAGCTGGGGTGCACACTGCATCCCCTGGGGGTGTGAGATGCCCTTTCTTGGAGGGGTTCGGAACATGGCCAGGTTTCTTTAGAAGGTAAATGATCGAAAACACAACTTAAGCACGGTCACTTAAGTACCGCTACTTTGTCTAATCAAACCCGATGTATTTATTAACATAATCTTCCTGGTTCTTTCGGTAAAGTCACGTAGAAGGGAGGTAATAAAATAATACAAATAAACATAATAAAATATATTTTATCATGTTTTATTTAAAAAATATATATTTTATTATGTTTTATTTTTAAATAATAAAAATAAAACATAATAAAATATATTTTATTATGTTGTATTTTTATTATTTAATAAAATATATTTTATTATAAATAAAATATATTTTATTGTTTTATTTTTATTATTTTATATTTTTATTATTTTATTACCTCCCTTCTACGTGACTTTACCGAAAGAACCAAGAAGATGAATCCCTGCAGTCACGAAAGCTTTAAATCGAAATATTAACATGTTTTTGATTTGCGATTCAGAACAAAATGGGTGCAAGGCTGCAGTCAAGGTTAAGAACCACTCCTCTAGACGGTGCGTGCGAGTGTCAGCCACCCCTAGTGGGTGCAGGGGTCGCGTGACCCCATCGCACAATACAATGTCAACCAAGCCACATCACACAACAAAAAAATGCATTGATTCTTACTCGCACGTGCTGGTCGATAGGTATGTATTGATTGTGAGCTGAAATAATTTATACGTGATGGATGTTCCTCCAACTTATATGATTCTGGGTTAGATCGCGTAAATATATAAATGTGTCGTTCAAACCCACCACCACTCGACACAGCCAACTAGTAAGGGCTGTCACGTGAACAGAACGTGGCCAATTCGTCACTAGTACAGCACTAGCATGTAGTGTATAGTAGTGTAGCGTATAGTGTAGTATACTAGTACAGCACTAGTGTATAGTGTAGTGTATAGTAATGTATTGTGTATAGTAGTGTAGTGTATATTGTGTAGTGTATATTGTGTAGTGTATAGTGTAGTATACTAGTACAGCACTAGTGTATAGTGTAGTGTATAGTGTAGTGTATAGTAGTGTAGTGTATAGTAGTGTAGTGTATAGTGTAGTGTATTTTGTAGTGTATAGTGTAGAGTGTAGTGTATAGTGCAGTGTATAGTAGTGTATAGTAGTGTAGTGTATAGTGTGGTGTATTGTAGCGTATAGTGTAGTGTATTGTAGTGTATAGTGTAGTGTATAGTGTAGTGTACTAGTACAGCACACCGGTGTGTTGGAGAGCCAAGCCACAACATTTACAATCTGAGTACGACGTTTCACCAGGCGACGGCTGTCACCTGATGAAGCTAGTTGTAATTACGACACTTTTATATGTTTACGCGATCTAACCCAACAAAACCTATATTATGGATGATATTGGTCGCGAAAGCCTGCCGCGTGTTAAACTGATATGATTTAAAAAAAATTAAGTCCAGTCAGGTGGCCGAGCGGCCCAGTGAACATGCCAAATATTACTCTTTGGTTCTTTCGGTAAAGTCACGTATAAAGATAAAATAATAAATTAAATAATAGCATACGACGTTTCGATTGCAACACAAGCAATCATCATCGGGTATAAATGAAATAGCAACAACAATCTAACCAGAAAACTATAGACAGACATATAAGCAGACAGATATCACCAAGATACATAGAGAGAGAGAGTAACACACAGGCACAGAGAGGGGAGATCGTCTCTGTGGCGTGGCCTTAAATAGACAGAGGGGGGCGGGGGCGGAGAGATTAATTAATTATTTTATCTTCATACGTGACTTTACCGAAATAACCAAAGAGTAATTCCTGCAGTCACGAAAGCTCTAAATTAAGATGCCAAATATTGGGCCAACGTCGGCACGCGGTTGGAACCGTCGGCCGAACGTCGCGCCAACGTTGTACCAACGTCCGCCTCGTGGTGGCCCCACGTCCCATGATCACTCGGGGGGGGCGGGGGGGTAGAGCGAGTGGCTCGCAATCAGGGAGGTTGCGGGTTTAATTCCCGGTAGTGGGTTGACTGGTGTCAATCATCCCTCCCCCCCTCACTCGGGGGGATGATAAATGAGCACACCACCTAGGGAAGGAAGTCAACAGCGGTAGCCCTATTCAGAGAGACTCGGCCCCGTCATAGGAATGTGGAATGTCCACCACTGGCTCAATGCTGTAAAAGGGTAAAAGGTGCAGCCCACACTTTGTTTGTTCCCACCACTGCTGGCAGAAGGGGCCTACACTGGATGCAGGCAAAGGTGGGATTGGCGGATCGTACAAGGATCACCACGTGTTGATGCCAACACCGACAGGAGTGATGAGTTGGTTGTCGTGGAAGGGAGTAGAGAAAGTAGGTTGAATGTGGGTGGTTGGTTTTCACCGGGCACTCTGCTTTCCTTTTGTTTTGTTTTTAAAAGAGGACCATGCCACATCGGGATGTTTGAACAATTCCATTGGGATGTTTGATCAATTCCATTGGGGTGATTGACCGAATTCCATTGGGATGTGTGAACAATTCCATTGAGATGATTGAACAATTCCATTGGGACGTTTGACCGAATTCCATTGGGATGTTTGACCGAATTCCATTGGGATGTGTGAACAATTCCATTGGGATGTTTGAACAAATTCCAGTGTGATGTTTGACCAATTCCATAGAATGTTTCACCAATTCAATTGGGATGATGTTTGACTCAATTCCAATGGCACACATGACCAATTCCATCCATGAGTGTGTGGATTCACGTGGGCAGGAAACCGGAGAAAACCCCCAACAGCACACGTACGAGATCGGGTGCGTCTCAGGGCGAGTCAAAGATTCACCTCGTCGTGTGAAACGCAAAGTTTAAATGCGTCACGCCGCGCGATTGATTTCCCCGTGGTGCTCACCCGAAGTTCCATGGCTGAGATGTATCCGCTGTGATCAGTGTCGTACTTCCTCCAAATCTAAAGAGACACGCCACGAGGCACGTCGCCACAGTGTTACGCGGCATTGTCCGATAGCATTTGTTCGTAGGAGAGAGACGAGAGAGACGAGGGAGAGAGAGAGAGGCACGGCAAGATGGTCGTTGTTGTTTCCAGGCACCACGGTGGCTGGGAGATGTTAACTCCCTCGCCTGGTATGCAGGAGGTCGTGGTTTCAATCCCAGCCCTGACACCTGCTGTAGATTTGGAGGTTGCATGTCTTCCTCTCATTATTATTATTATCACCACGGTGGCTAGGAGATGTTAACTACCTCGCCTGGTGTGCAGGAGGTCGTGGTTTCAATCCCAGCCCTGACACCTGCTGTAGATTTGGAGGTTGCATGTCTTCCTCTCATTATTATTATTATCACCACGGTGGCTAGGAGATGTTAACTACCTCGCCTGGTGTGCAGGAGGTCGTGGTTTCGATCCCGGCCCTGACACCTGCTGTAGATTTGGAGGTTGCATGTCTTCCTCTCATTATTATCATCATCACCACGGTGGCTAGGAGATGTTAACTACCTCGCCTGGTATGCAGGAGGTCGTAGTTTCGATCCCGGCCCTGACACCTGCTGTAGATTTGGAGGTTGCATGTCTTCCTCTCATTATCATCATCATCACCACCGTGGCTAGGAGATGTTAACTACCTCGCCTGGTATACAGGAGGTCGTGGTTTCGATCCCGACCCCTGCTGCTGTAAATTTGAAGTTTGCGTGTCTCTCTCTCCCCATAGTCGCGTGGATTTTTTTTCCCCTCGCAACATTAAGAATCAACATCACGCGTTCAGAGTATTTGGCTGCTATAAATTTCCGGACGATAAGCCACTCCCCCCGATGAGCTTTCATTTGAGGCCAGGACACTTCTGAAAATAGAGCAGCACAGCTCAGTGTGCCTTACCTGCTAAAATTTTAAATCGTTTTTGTTCAGTTTAATGACATCCACCTTCTAGTGTGCAGTGCCGAAGGACGGTACGGCACATGAAGGGAGTGGGCGGCCAGAACCACGCCCGGCCGCCTTTGTCTCCCGAGTGGCGATATTTACACATCGCAACGGCCTCGGGGAGATGCAGGCCCGGATCAAATATTAGTCAGCTACATTGGCAGCCGTCATAGCGCGGTGCGTTAACCACTGCGCCACCGCTCCCCCCCCCCTACGCGCGCACGCACACTGCGGAGATACAAAGACAAAGATCCCCCGTGTAGCCTCAACAGACTGTAGGGGCAAGTGCTGTTAGCGAGCACCTATGAAGGCCGGAACGTTACACGAGAGGATGGGTGGCCAAGCACCACGCCCGACCGCCTTTGTCTCCCCAGTGGCGATGTTTACACACCGCACCCAGACACTCATTTGAGGCTGAGTCGACCTAGGGGAGGCCCAGGACCGGTTCAAATAATCGTCACTGGGTAGCCGGGTTCACAGCGCAGCGTAGCGCTAACCGCTACACCACCACGGAGATACACGAACATCGTCACGCGCATGAGCTCACAATGTAAAAAAAAAACTTAGTTTTTCTTTCACATTTCAAACATCTCCCTCTTTGCATACGAACGTGTCACGCACTTCCTCATACCCCTTCATCCCTCTCGGGCGCTCCTGGGAGCCAACTAAACCCCCCCTTCCACCACCACCACCACCACCACCCCTCTAACATCGAGAGCCAGGCGCTGTTTAATTAGAGACTCGTCCCTGCGAGCTCGTCAAGGTCCATCCACGGCACCCAACGCAGACCCCACCCCGGTCCCTGTTCATCACAGACCACGTCCGAGCCGTGGGGGCTCCGTTTAATAAAAAAATGACATTTGAATTATAAAAAAAAAATACATCGGCCCTGCTTATACCTTTCATTGCTTCTCTCGCCAGCGGCGCAGAGCTCGGTTTAATTAATAGATCCACCTGTTGTTGTAAAATATCTCATTTAATTCGCTCACTGCGTACGACTAATCGCTCGGCAAAAAAACAAAATCCCGACTCGTTCCGATTTCCCTGATCCGCGCTTTGATTCTAGCCGCCGTTTGCGTTCGCTAATCGTCGCCATGATCTACCCACTGCTGGATGAAGGCCACCCCCCCCCCCAACACTTCCCAACGTTCCACCCCCACACCCCACCCCTTCACAAGCCATCACCACCGCTCAGTCTTGGAATGAAACAAAGACAAAGCTCCCCCGTGTGGCCTCAACGGACTGCTGGTGTCAAGTTGCTGTCAGCGAGCAGCGGCGCCGATCAAGGTCGGAGCGGCACAATCCACCCAAGCACCGCTCCGTCTCGCTGCTGCACACACACCAGATGATCATCACCGCTCCATCTCCGCCGTGGACGCGTTTCTCGTAGAGTGCGTTTCCCCTCCCTTGGTTGCCCCTCCGTCACATAGTCTCGACCATCGGCCGTAGTCCCGTGCCCTGCTCAAGCCCACAACTTTGTTTCGCCGAGACTGTCAGCATGACGGCCTCTCACACTTGGTGGCGAGATGTTAACTACCTCGCTCGGTATACAGGAGGTCGTGGGTTCGACCACGACCCAGACGCCTGCTGCTGTATATTTGGGGTTTACGGTGTCTCTCTTGATTCCGGCTTTCCCCGCCACATTGAGGATTAACATCACGCGTTCAGAGTGTTTGGCTGCTATAACTTTCCACACGATAAGCCACTTCGTTGAGCTATCATTTGTGACCAGATTGTTTCTGAAAAATAACTACATTGCTCAGTGGGGCCTTACCTGGTAAAATAAAAAATTGTTTCATATTTTAGTTTATATAAAATTCCTGCGACTGGGTTTGCTGCGCAGCGCAAACCGCAATGCCACCACTCCACCGCCGATGCATTCATTATTTAAAGTCATTTGGCAAAGGAAAGGCTTATGATGAATTTAAATCAGCACAGTCAAGTGATTTGGCATGGAGTTGATCATTATACCACTTCATCCGCTCAGGCTCACGGCAATTTAACAAAATGTTAATCTCACGTAAAAAAAAAACTACCAACAACAATTTATTTGGGTTAAGTGGTCGTACGCAAACAGATCACGCAAGTAACGTGTGTGTCGTAAAACCCTCCTCCACCAGACACAGCAGGCAATGTATGAGGTTGTCACGTGAACAAAGGTGGCGTTGTACGGTACTACCGCCCCAGCTAAACTGAGTAACTGGAGCTTCGGGGTGGTAAACATCGCCAAAGGGGGAGACAGAATTGGGCCGAGCGTGGTGCTGGCCACCCACCCCATCGTGTGCCGTGCCTACCCTTCATGTAGGTACATACATTAAACTTCTTTCACACCGTACGTAGCCAACAGCGCTAATCATCGGAGGTGCGGGGGATGGACAGGAAACTAAACGCAAAAAAGCAGTTGCTAAAGAAATGAATGTTGTCAATCTAGACGATTATTTAAAAGTGCACAATTCCCTGTGGCTTCCGAATATCTGAAGAGCGTTCCAGACGGCCGCAGAAGCACATCTGAATGCACCGCGCGATGAAATGATCCCTTCTTTGTTCGATTGCTAGCTAAACGGAACTTGCCCCAACAGTCCATGAAGACTATACGGGGGATCTTTGTCTTTTGACTGAGCGCCAACGTTGAGTGGGTGACTAATTGGCAACGTTGCCTCAACGTCGGCCGAACGTTCTTACCCCAACGTTGCCCTGGAGATCCGTGTTCACTGGGTATTGGCCTGTGCTCATCCGAGATGCGCTGGAGCCGGGCCTGTCTACGGCACAGAACGCTCAGCGAATGATCGAATGTTCAATCCTAGGCCGTAATTAAAATGCCCCCCCCCCCCAATATATTGCTATAAAATAGATTTCTGTTTGTATGATTGTGGTTATGGTTGTACTTGATGAATCCCTAATCTCTGCCATTGCATACAATGAAACAAGAAAAGGTAAATAAAAAAACAGAGCAAATGTAATACAATACACTATTAGACATTATTGTAAAAAATAAATAAAAAGTCCATTCTATGCGTTAGTGATTTTTTTCATATTTGAGGCAGGAAATGGCAGGAAATTTGTTTTCAAATGTAGATTTAGTTTCTGGGGGGGGGGGACCCCCAGACCCCCTAGAAGATTTGGTCTCCCCCCAATGTTGACTCCACGGCTACGGCCTTGGTTCAATCCACTGCTGGATGGATGGGCGGCGGCGGGGGGGCGGTGGGTGGCGAGCGGTGTGAGGCCGTCATTTGAACGCGCCGGTGACTTCGTCTCGCTTACCCTCATGAACTCCACGCTGCTGCCCAGTGGATTCTCACGACGGAAGAGCAGCAGGAAGTTCTCCTCCTCCGGAAGGATCATGTTCGCCACCTGCAACGGGAGCAACATCAGAAATCAGAGAGTTGAGTTTAGACTGCGGGAGAAATCCGATGGGCTGTAAAGCGCTTGATACTTCTTCTCGGTTCTTTCGGTAAAGTCACGTAGAATGGAAATAATAAAATAATACAAATAAAACATTAATAATTCTCACGACGTTTCGGCCACAACGCAAGCAGCCGTCCTCAGGTGAAACCAGGTCTGTCGAGGCGACGCTGTTTTATTTTTATTATTTTATTACTTTCCTTCTACGTGACTTTACCGAAAGAATCCCTGCAGTCACGAAAGCTTTAAATCGAAATCTTTCGGTAAAGTCACGTAGAAGGGAAGTAATAAAATAATAAAAATAAAACATAATAAAATTATTCTCACGACGTTTCGGCGCTGTCTCCCCGACAGACCTGGTCTTCACCTGAGGACGGCTGCTTGCATTGTGGCCGAAACGTCGTGAGAATTATTTAATTATGTTTAATTTTTATTATTTTATTATTTCCCTTCTACGTGACTTTACCGAAAGAACCAAGAAGATATCACACCGTGCTTACACGACTCGTATAAACCCAGGGAAACCAACTGCGCGTCATAATATCGCTTGTAAATTATACGAATCTCTTAACGGCGGTCGCGTTAAAGTCAACAAATTGTCGTGGCCAGAGGCCCTTCTCCTCCTGCTGTGCCTAATTAGCCACCGCTCAAAACTCCCCACGCGTAGCCCACGAGGGGAGAGAGACACGAGAACGACGACGATTAATATTAATAATTAATAATAATATAATAATAGTTTACAATACTCATCCATCACACTTCACTTGCTTGGAGCGGGGCTCAACCGGCGCGTGGCGACCTCTGCTGAACCCGAATCTCCATAATTGTACAACATCCACCCCTCCTTCACTCACTTCCCACCAGTGTATAAACCACCACCATCACCCCACACCCAACTCATACACAGTGGCATACATTTAGTTGCTGCCTCGCACCGTCATCAACCACAAGAAGAGACAACAACAACAACGACAACAACAACAACCCACCACCACGATCTACGGTATAATAACAATAGCGTTTTCACAGGTACCGTGATCCTCCAGATTACAGTCACGTGCCGATGTACGTCTTCCCCCCACTCCTACGTCGTTTCGCAATCACGCCGTCACTTGATCATCAACCAACGCCACTGCCCCATTTTGCCCGTAGCCTCTCAGCCGACCCCGTAAAAAATTAAAAATAAATTTCTTTGTTTTTAACGTCGTTTCGATATTCGCGGTCGCTCATTTCTGTGAAAGCATCGACCTGCACTACCCCCGCTCGGCCGAGCGTAAACCGGATTCAATGCTGATAATTGTTTTTTTCTACCCTTCTATCTGGCAACAAAACTGACACCTTTTTTACAAGGAGTCATGTTTGCATAGACCACAATACCTGCAGCCGTAATGCAAAAAAAAACATAACTCTGATAATATATGCACTGTCCTTGAAGTTGATTGGTCCACACCCGAGACAGCTTTCCTTAGAGCCTTGTCTCACATGGTGTTGGACCAGATGACGCCAAAAAAGAAAGCTGTCTCGGGTGTGGACCAATCAACTTCAAGGACAGTGCATATATTATCAGAGTTATGTTTTTTTTTTTGCATTACGGCTGCAGGTATTGTGGTCTATGCAAACATGACTCCTTGTAAAACAAGGTGTCAGTTTTGTTGCCAGATAGAAGGGTAAAAAAACAATTATCATATTTTTTACTGGCAAATGAGGTTCCAATGGCGAATTCAATGCTGTCGACATGGAATCCGCATTTTGCCGTTTCTGCCTTGCTCGTGGCCTGCCAGGGCACTGCGGGCATCCCCGACGTCCCACGGGATGGCGGATCAACGTCGGTGTGGCACTGGCGAAGCGGCGAAGCCATCAGCTCCGGGTTGGTCAGGTGAGGCACCCATCCTGTGATTTGTCTCGCACGGTCGCACCTGGAGGCTATGATGATAACACTGTGTTCCTGGGTAGTAAGTGTTACTTCCTAATTGCTTTTGCCTCAAAAGTACAGAAAATCGCTGTTATTCCCCACAAACTTTGCTTTTGTGACCAGGACATTGATATTTTGAAATGTATCTATTTTCAATGAGAAAACGGGTTCGATTCCCGCTCACGGCCAACACCGGTGACGATTATCCGAACCGGTCCTGGGCCTCTCCTAGGTCGACTTGGCCTCAAATGAGTACCTGGTGCGGCCTGTAAACATCGCCACTGGGGAGACAAAGGCGGCCGGACGTGGGTGGCACAGGCCACCCAACCCCTCGTGTGCCGGCCTTCATAGGGGCTACTCGCGAACAGCACTTGCCTCCAAAGTCCGTTAAGGGGTCGTCCATAAATGACGTCACGCGATTTTGGACGATTTTTTACCCCCCCCCCCAAAAAAACGTGCTTCAAATCGCTTTAAACTATTGTCATTGTAGTGCGTTTTTAATGTGGCGCTGCACTCTGATGTTGTAGGAGAAAACATTTATTACAAAGTCTATTTAATTAAGTAGAACGTGTTGTCTATATTTATTTCATTTTGCGCAATTTGATGTGACGTCACATGTCTCAAACCCCCCCCCCCACTCTCGTCACACATCGTCACAAATGTCTGACCCCCCACCCCCCCAGGTGCGTGACGTCATTTATGGACGGCATCTAAGGCTATACGGAGGAGGGCGTGGGGCAACTTTATATTTTGTGGAGACCAGATTTGTAATAATGAACGGCATCATTGTTGTACAAAGAACATCTTGCAACCCGCTGGAGTACAATGGCAGCCATGACCTCAGGACCACGCGAACACCTCCAATTACCACCTCGCTATCATTATTATCATTAACGTTGTCCCCTTGAGTGGAGAGAGATGAACCCTCTTCACTTTAGAGACAATTACAATTCATCAAAGTGAAAATTCGCTTTTTATTTCACGCGAACTTTGACCCCCCCGGCGATGTAAAAAATTTTTTTTTAATCTGCGTCGTTTTTTTTTCGAGCTCGTGCTGCTGTCACATTTCTCCGCCGCGTGCCGCGGTGTCACGTCGCGTGTGACGTCGCGTGTGACGTCGCTTGTGACGTCACGCGTGACGTAGCGTTCGCTCTCGAAGAGAGAGAGGGGAGGGGGGTGGACGACTCGGGGGCGTCGCAAGGAGAGGCCGCGGACGGGCGGGAAAGGCAGTTTCCCGAGCTCTGCGATCCTCTCTTAATGTGCCAACTCGCACCCACGCGTGCCAGTTGGCACACGGAGGCTCGCCCGCAGCTTTGCCGTGCCACCGCCTTCTCCCGGCGAGCCGGGGAACGGGCACCTCCGTAGACTCGCACGTTGTGAACGGAGATTCGCGATATTTGTGCGCGGTGATCCACTAACCCCTCGCTGCTGCTGCTGCCGCTTCCGCAGCGCTGGATACTGGATAGGCAGGCCACGCGTGTGGCTTGGCGTGGCCACCGGAAGACGAGGAGCGAGTTTTGCCGGGGCGGGCGATCAAGGACGGAAGAAGCCACGAATAACAGCTGATTATACAGGGCGCTTCAAAAAAATGTTAACACTCACATGGGACTCTCGTTTTTAATGGAAAAAATAACGGATAATACAGTGTAACATGATAACAAATGAATATTGATGGCTTCAAAATATCCACCACGTGCCTGGAATCTTCTCGAGGTCGTCTACAGAGTCCGGAGGCCCATTTCTCGTGGTATTTGTTGCAAATCCTCAGAAGTGTGAACTGTTTTTTTTGAAGCACCCCTGTAGAATTCAGTTCCTGCAGAAGCTCCCAGCGCGCGGGGGTTGAAACGTCGGACATCAACACACATCGGAGAGTTTGCGGGTGTCTGGTAGTCCGCTACGTGATCGTTTCGCTCCGGAGGGCGGCAGAAAAAAAACACACGCGGGGGATGCGATTTGCATTCCGATTTAAATAACCAAATTATTACCAACAGCTGTGAGCAAGCTACTTAAGAGGCCACGTGATTGATGTTCCAAATGTAGCCTCTCAATGCTTGGCTGCATGCGTTCTAATTACAGTGAGGCTCGCACAGACCCATTCATTCTTCACAAAAGACAAAGATCCCCCATATAACCTTTGGGGCGCTACGGTGGAGAGATGTTAACTACCTCGCCTGGTATGCAGGAGGTCGTAGGTTCGATCCCGACACTGATGCCTGTTGCTGTATATTTGGAGTTTGCGTGTCTCTCTCTCTGTGGTAGCGTGGATTTTTTCTCTGAGTCCTCTGTTTTTTTAGAAACACACGTTTAGAGTATTTGGCTGCTATACATTTCCACATGATGATGAGCCCACTTCGTTGAGCTATCATTTGTGGCCAGATCGCTTCTAAAGAAGAGCTACGTAGCTCAGTGGGCCTTAGCTGGTCAAATAAAACAAATAGTTTAGTAACAGACTGTTGGGGCAAGTGCCATTCCCGATAAACTATTAAGGCACCTGGCACACAAGGTGGTGGGTGGCCAACACCACGCCTAATCGCCTTTGTCTCCCCAATGCTGATGTTGACACACCGCACCAGGTAGTCATTTGAGGCCGAGTCGACCTAGGGGAGGCCCAGGGCCGTTTCAGAACATCGTGACTGGTGTTGATCGTCAGCGGGAATTGAACTCGGATCACCGGATTCGTAGCGCAGCGTGCTAACCGCTGCGCCACCGCTCCCCACATTCAACACACACACGAGCACACACACACACGAGCACACACACACACACGAGCACACACACACACACACGAACACACACACACACGAACACACACACACACGAACACACACACACACGAACACACACACACGAACACACACACACGAACACACACACACACACACGAACACACACACACGCGCCCTCCTACCTAAGACACCGTGCGTGGGAGGGATATCACAAAAAGTAATACCTCCTACATTATTAAATCAATAACATTTTATTTATTTGGCGGGACCCGTGGTGGTGGCGCTACAGGCAGCGCTCGGCGCATCTCGCG